GTTGCCAGCTGGGCTTAAACCACGACAGAATGTTTCAGAGTTCCTAATGACCTCATATTAAGAACTACCTAAACACAATTCTACAAGTGGAGAATGTTCTGCTATTCACCTTTTACGTTTTTTTAACCTTAGTTCGCAATTGCCACCTGTAACACAAGACTTCTTCCCAGAGGCTTTTTTACCTCTGGTTCTGATTCCACATGCAATAATCTTGAAATTATTTCAAACAGCTACTTGAGGTTTACCTGTTACCATTTTTCTTCTCTTGACTTCTGACAGCTCTCGCTGATACGTCTCAGCACATTCTGGAGTGACTCCATATAGCCCAACATCCAGTGAACGCAAGGCACTGAGAGTCTGGCTAACATCACCATGGCCTACTGCTTCATTAATGGCCAGAATTCCTAAGGAGACTTTGATAACACAAGGAAGCAGGTTATCTTGGCATTCAGGGGCTCAGTGATGCATAGCAACACAGAATGACAGAATAGAGTAAGGCAATATGAACACATACTTACAGTTGATGTGTCTATATACAGAAACATTTAAGTGTATATAAATATAAAATACAAATACAATCAGGCAACTTGCAGTAGCACAGAGAAAGGCCTCTTCAGTAGGAAGTGTCCAACCATACGTGGTACTGCAATTGACAGCATGTAACCTGAGTCCCGGTACAGTGCTGATTAACCACCACTATTTCTCAGCAGCACATAATGCTTTAACTCTACTCTGACATCTGGTTTAGTTAAGGCAGAACCAGTCACAACTCAAAAGGGGCCTTTTCAACAAGTAGTACTATCCATCCCTAGCGAAAAAAGTATGGAGCAGTTTGTAAGCAAGTCAAAACCCTGACCGAGGAAAGATGGGGCAGAGGAGCAGAAAAATCATAATGCATCATTGCAGTGCTGCTTCAGAACTGCAAGTCAAATACAGACTTATTTGCAAGAACACAGGTATTGCACTGGCACGATGAAATACAGTAATCTTCAGCACTAGGTAAGGCTGCAAAAAAAAAAAAAAAAAAAAAAAAAAAAAAGTCTGTTCATAGATAGGTAGGTAGGTAAGGGTATTTGAAGATCTCATTCAGGCTTAAGGGCACATTCTTTAATCTGGCTTTTGACCAAATGCTCCCTGGCATGACATTCAAGCTGCTGCCTTGTCAAAGTGCTTGTTGGGTGGCAAAATGGTGAAAAAATTGCAGTGGTGCTGCTGGGCACAGCAAAACAAACAGGTAAAGCTCTGCCTGACACCCCCGCTTTTTGTTGGGTTTTTTTTAGGCAGATGACAGGGGAATTCAATGATCAAATCACATCATTTAAGATAACTGAACTAGGCCATGGAATTGAACAACCTCATTGTCTTTCCTTAGAAAGCTTTTTGTGAGCCTGTCGATTCTTCTCTTTTTTCAAACATCGACAAATAAAGAATACAAATGGACAAGGCACAAATAGAAAAGCAAGCTTATTTTTGCACCAGCAGAGCAAGGACTTGAGGTATCAACTGTGCCAGAAATTCTACATACTAAACTCATGTTGGAGGGCAATCTAGTCCAATCCCATTCTCAAAGCTGGGCTAACCTCAGGACCTTGTCTGGCCATGTTTGGAAAAGCTCAAAGACAGATTCCACAGTGTCTTTAGACAACCTGTTTCAGAAGGTACCGGAGAGATTCCAAGCTCATATTAAAAACTTTTCAGTTTCCAGTATGATTGCCTACTCAAAACAAAATCAGAAGGGACTGACTGTTCATCTTTAGATAACTTTAAGTATCAGTATAACATCAAATTAGAATTATTGGAAGTGGAAAATAAAGTATTTTATCAGCATACCAGGGATGAAAAAAAAAAACACAGTAAAAAAAAAAAAACATAAGGCGATTATAAAGAGAGGAAACAATCAAATTACTAATGCTTTACAAAGAAAAGCAAGCAGACAGGTGCCAATGTTGAATATAATGGAAAACTAAGAGAGTTAGAGCAAATGAAAAAAGAACAATGTAATATTAAAAAAAAATAAAAGTATTAAAACAAGCTCTCTGAAACACGCGGTACCCAGCAAACAAACAGCGTATGGAGACAACGGGCCATTAGAATATTACAAGACAACTCTCAAAACCCTCATGTTTTGTTAAAGAGAAAGCTTCTGCCAGGAAAATAAAACAGCAAAAAAACCCAACAGCAGCAAGTTAAGCCAACAGCAGCAAGTTAAGCCAACAGCAGTAACCACTTCACTGATTCTAGAGAAAGAAAAGACATCATTACAAAGACTGGGATGTAACGATGGGTGGGCCAGTCCACATGCAAACTGTGCTAAGGAGCAAAGGTGGATGTCACTGATGTTTATTATTGTCTGTGTTCCAAAAGATGCGAGGTAGTCTAGAAATACTTAACAGAACCAAAATAAAAGGATGCCACACAAATAAAATATAATGCGCACCAGAAAACACCATTTAAATGGTGAACTTTCTCATACCTAACTATCTACCCACATGTCACACACAATCAGTTGCAAATGACCAACAATTTGCTAGAGATTTGTCTGATGAGATAACACTGTCATAGGCAAAGCTGGAAAAATAGCATACCCCCCCAAAAGATAAGAAATCTAATAGTTGAAGAATGTGACATCCACTCTTCAAACAAGAATTGCTACACCAGAAGAACCTAAGTGCCTTTGATCTCCTTTGACACATTTACATGACGTTTCTAGCTCCCAACCTTTCCTTAAGTAACCAGCATTTGGCTGATAATGGTGATTAATTGCAGTATAGTACAACAATACTTACATCTCTCAGACTCCTCTGTGTCCTTGTTAGCCCCATGAATCCCCTCCTGAATTTCATCTAGCCAAAGTACAGCTGTCTCATCCTGTGTTTCCTGAAGAGAATATGAGAAAAATATACACAGCATGAGGAAAAAAATATCATCATTTTTGCAAAGCAAAATAACCCGTACTCAACAATAGCTGCTATAGTAGTTTTCCATATCAAAGGAAGTAAGAAACATTTCGGTGTTTCTAGTTGACTCCAGCACAAGGACACCATGTGTATTTGTGACTAGCAAGAGACTACTATGGCATTACTAAACTCAATACTTCCTCCCAGACAGAAACTCCTCTCGGGAAACAAGACAAAGAACAAATTCTGTCAAGAATCACTGTGAGAAGCATAAAGAACACAAAGTCAAGACTCGTACCGGTTAGTCCTAAAGCCCTAGATGCTAAAAGGACACTGACTTTCCAGGAACACAAGTTAGGCCTTCAGCAGAACATGGCTACAAAGAGTTCATGGAACAAAAAGCTGCTGATGCACGTCTGTGTGCGGAAACTAAAAACCCGCACGTAATTTATGACACATCAGACTGTTCTTGTCCCTGTCAGTTGAAGTTCACAAGCCCTGTAGAAACTAACCACCAAAAAGCACTGTACATATGATGCCTGCATTTACATGCACAACAGGCAAAGCCATGTTTTAAGACTTTGTGTTAACAGATTGCTCATCAAGGAGCAGTGATCACACAATATGCTGTATTTTGGCTGGGATTTGAAGAAATCATAGAATCAAGGAATGATTTGGGTTGGAAGGGACCTTAAAGTTCATCCAGTTCCAACCCCCTGCCATGGGCAGGGACACCTTCCACTAAACCAGGTGGCTCAACCTGGCCTTGAACCTTGACTGTACCACACAGCTTAGTGCCATCAGCAAACTTGCTGAGGGTGCTCAATCCCACCATCCATGTCACTGACAAAGATGTTAAACATCAGTCAGTCCCAATGTCAACACCTAAAGACCACCACTCATCACAGAACTCCACTTGAACATCGAGCCATTGACCACAACTGACTACAATTGTCCAGCCAATTCTTTATCCACCGAATGGTCCATCCATCAAATCCATGCCTCTCCAGTTCAGAGACAAGGATGCCATGAGAAACAGTGTCAAATGCCTTGCACAAGGCAATGCAGATGATGCAGTCACTCTTCCCTTATCCATCCTTACAATGCTGTGGCCCCACTGTAGAAGGCCGTCAAATTTGTCAGGCACAATTTGCCCTTCGTGAAGCCCCCTTAGTGTCCCTGTGCCTTAGCATAGTTTCCAGGAGGACCTGCTCCACGATCTTGCCAGGCACTGAGGTGACACTGACCGACCTGTAGCTCCCTGGGTCTTCCTTGTTTCTCTTTTGAAAAGTGGGAGTTATATGTCCCCTTTTCCA